TATGAAGCTACGAGTTAACCAAAGTGTGCTAACATTAGCCTGCTAAAAACAATGCAGATTCGAAGATAGAATATTTAAATGTTTTAATGTTTTTTTTAAGTAAAATAAATAAATAAATATTCAGGAAAATAACATCATATAACATGTGATACTTAAATGTAAGTAGTTAAAGAAGATATGATTAGTGGAGATATAAAGGGAAAATAAATGCTATTGATTCAGTGTACTTTGCTTTATCAGCTCTTTGAGAAAATATTGATTAAAACAGGTCAATGTTACTTAAAGGATCACGTTTTTTTATCAGCATTAAATAAATAACGTTAGTTTTTGTACCTTTAATTGAAATGTTCGAGGTGGACTCTATAACAGTGACGCTGTGTGAAGTCAGAGTGATGTGACATACTCACCCTCTGGGTCAGTGAAAGCGGCTCTTCATCCATAGAGTGTTCTTCTGAGGAACAAATAAATGCAAAAGAAAACCAATTTTATTTCTATCCCTCTTTCTGCATCTCCCTCTATCCCACTTTCCAAACCCAACACAGATTCAGCAGACGGCTGTTCATCATGAGTCTGGTTCAGCTCGAGGTTTCTGCTCTTAAAGGATTTTTACCTTTCCACTGTAACTTTGCTAATTCAATTCAAAGGCACACAGAGCAGTAAATGTTTCTTGGTGCTCGTGATGGATTAATGTTGGGTCTTTGTAGATAATATAACAAAGAGTAAGATATTTACCTGCTCTTTTTGTAAAGTGACGGTTTTGCTTTCCTCATTAATTGAAATATAGAACTTTTAAAATGCCTTGATTGTATTGTGTGAAGACTTTGTGTTTGTCTAACCTTCGGGCTCCCGTCTGTCGTCGAGCAATCTCTTCACGAGATCAGTCCTGTTCATCTTCTTTAAGATATTTCTGGTCAACTTCACACACTCCTCCTCGCTGTATCTCTTCACCATCAGCTCCTCTATTTTCTCTGGGCATATTGATTTTAGATCGAGTTCTGAGAGGAGGGGAACACCTTTCTCCAATTCAACATGTAGGCAGAAATCTTCAAGCTCCCCAGAACTCAAATGTTCCAATGTTTTAGACAACATCCCACGTGTCGTCATTTTTTCAAGCTGGAAAACAAAAGATAACATCACAGAATATGCAGATTATGACGAGTGCCATTTACAGAAAGTACATATTTGATTGGATCCTTTTATTTCATTTCATAAATACCAGAGTTATTGACAAGTAGCATGTCATCACACTCTGATTAAACATTTTTTAAAATAGCTCTTTTTTTTCACTAAAGAAAAAACATTTGAAACTTTTTGATGGCTCACTCAGTAGTTATTAATCAAAGGCTGCGGCCTTCAGATTTAAATCTTATTCATGACTTACAAGCATTACATGGACACACACACAAACACACACAACACACACACACACACACACACACACACACACACACACACACACAGCTCGGTTAGGGCGAGTGCCAGGAGAGGTTACCGTCCTCTCTCTCTCTCTCTCTCTCTCTCTCTCTCTGGGAGGTTTACGTGGCTGGTTCCAGCATGAATGTCTGTTGAATATCCAACTTGAAACCAACTTCAGCTTCCTGGTTTAATGTACTCTGATAATTATGGCATTTAGCTAAAACCCTTATATTTGCAGTCTATCTAGTTAGATGTTACTTAACCCACTTTAAGTATTCGAGTGTTTACAAACCTGAATACAACTCGAGAAAAGGAAGTGGTAAAACAAAGATGAAAGTAACTGCAGAAAAAAAAACTGTACTGACTCACTTCCTCTGTTTGAGCAAAACATTCCTCCACTTACCGAAAATCGTCGACGTCTTAGTAAGCTGAAAAACCTAAAAACAAGATTAAAATCCAGTCACATTTCTACTTTTTGCTCGTCCATTATCCAGAAGTCGAAGACAGCCCTGTGCTGTGTAGTTTTTGTCTCTAGTCTGATGCAGACAGGTTTGACATAACGGCGAGTTCATGGGGTCTTAACTAACCCAGCCCCTTTGCTCCTCAAAGCCAACACCCATTTTACTGATCGCTTACAATAAAATATTCAGCTGTCTTAAAGAATCTGTAAAATAAATGATTGTGCAGTACACTGTTACATCACATGAATGAACAAATTCATTTTATTATTTTATTATTTTCATAGCTACTGAGATTGTATGAGCTCTCTTCTAACCTACTACCTCTGTAAAATGAACTGTAAGCCTATAAAAAATAGTACACATTGCCAAAATGACTTAATGAACTACTTCATCATCATTTTGGCTGTCCTCATCTTGGTCCAGGGACGGACTGGGACTACAAAACAGCCCTGGACTTTGACTCGGCCGGCCCACAACAATCGATATGTGGGAAGTCATCAACGCCTGGCACGGGTGTCACAATACTTTAATCATGACTCATGACACTATACCATCCAAATTACAGCAATAGCACTGATGTTGACTAGATGTTGTGTTAAGAGCATAGTATTCTAGTCTTACTTGAATACTCACAAAGAAATGAAAGTGTCATCACACTGCAGTCCCTCTACTGCCAGGTATTTTGTCTTCTTCTGAGGGTGGTAAGAAAAAAAAACCTCTAGGCTGTGACTTTCTGAATTTAAGGTTGAGCTGGCGTGGGTGTCATCCTCTGCCCTCGGTCGAAGCTCAACCTGAATAAACAAATGATGGAATGGATTTAAAAAAAAAAAAAACTGGTTTTATGTATCCAATTGATCATAACATCATCTATTCCATGCAATCTTATGATTACTTTATTACTCAATAATCTTAATTAATTTATGCAGTAATTAACTTACTGTACAAATAATAATGAAAATACACCACTACAAATGTAACTTCTGTATTCAAAGTCTTCAAAGTTTGTAAGTATTATCAGAAAACTGTAACGTTACCAAAACTTTAAAAAGTAAAAGCACAACAGTTATTTATATATACAGTATATAGCCTATTTCTTAATATTACTGCATGTGGCATTTTACACCTAAAATGTTTAAAGTGGAGCTGTTTTAACTACTATAATCATTATTTCACTTTATTTTATTTCATTAAATTTTTTGCATTGCACTGGACACACACACACACACACACACACACACACACACACACACACACTAATGTACTCTGATAATTATGGCATTTAGCTAAAACCCTTATATTTGCAGTCTATCTAGTTAGATGTTACTTAACCCACTTTAAGTATTCGAGTGTTCACAAACCTGAATACAACTCGAGAAAAGGAAGTGATAAAACAAAGATGAAAGTAACTGCAGAAAAAAAAACTGTACTGACTCACTTCCTCTGTTTGAACAAAACATTCCTCCACTTACCGAAAATCGTCGACGTCTTAGTAAGCTGAAAAACCTAAAAACAAGATTAAAATCCAGTCACATTTCTACTTTTTGCTCGTCCATTATCCAGAAGTCGAAGACAGCCCTGTGCTGTGTAGTTTTTGTCTCTAGTCTGATGCAGACAGGTTTGACATTTGTTCATGGGGCCTTAAACCAGCCCCTTTGCTCCTCAAAGCCAACACCCATTTTACTGATCGCTTACAGCTGTAAAATAAATGATTGTGCAGTACACTGTTACATCACATGAATGAACAAATTCATTTTATTGTTTTATTATTTTCATAGCTACTGAGATTGCATGAGCTCTCTTTTAACTTACTACCTCTGTAAAATGAACTGTAAGCCTATAAAAAATAGTACACATTACCAAAATGACTTAATGAACTACTTCATCATCATTTTGGCTGTCCTCATCTTGGTCTGAAGGGAGCATGATGTGAACCTCCGTTGAGGACAGTGTGCATGAACTTTGTTACACCTCTTGTCTCTTGTCATTGTTAAAACCCAGGAAGCTATGCCCTCATACATATAGCACCCTGCTTTATCAATGATTTGAAACAAAATTAAACTGTGATGGACTGAATTAACATCAAGCTGTATTGAAGAACACTTTCAAGTAGGGACAGGTACCATAAACCCATCAGACAACAAGACCCATCTTACATAATACAGCAGGATGTTTACTCATTGCTTATGGCCTCATTGAAAGTTAAATAGTAAAATAGATAAGAGGTGTAGTTACCTCCAGTTATTAGAGCCCGACCCATTAATCTACCAGCCGATAATTCATTGTAATGAATAATAATTAGGCTATCTATGTAATATTTATGAAGTTTGCAGTCACATAGTTGTTATCACCACTCGTGAATGACAGTGAGGGACCACGGACTGGCTAATGTGCACACAGGCTGGGACATTAGATCCAGGCTTGAACACTTTCAATACAGAGAGTGCATGAACGCGCATTGTTTCAAAACAGTAGAAGCCCTGATAGTCTTTGAACCTCTCTGCTTTTCTATCCAGAGGCCTGTTAAAAACAGAGGGGATAAATTATAAGACAACTGTTGTCTTTTATGTAGTTAATTTACAATTTATCAAATTGCTTGTGCAAACGTGGAACACCCCCCCCCCCGAATGTTTTAGAAACTGCATGGATTATAGAGTAATGTAATGTAACACAGCTTGATGGGTGAACAGCCTGGGCAGGATGTCCCGCCCACAGCCATTTCATCGCTCTGAAAAAGTAATCTGTAGCCTATAAGAAACAGGAAAAACAGGCATTAAACCAATGGTTGATATGAAATAACTTGTGAAAAAACGTGCAGGGGAAGAAACGATGGGAGGTCGCAGACGTCCTGGTTTCAACATGATCTACATATAAATAAGAGCTGCCACTTATTCCTCATCTTCTTCCACTTTATGGCTTTAATGGCGTTTGGAAACCTATATTACCGTCACCTATTGGACCAGTGTATGAAACAAAACTGGATAAGCACCTACAGCAACCTTTGTTCCTTTTAAAAATGTAATTAATGAATTCATTGTATGTTTTACAAGATCAGAGCCTCTCTGCGTGGAGTTTGCATTTTCTCCCCGTGATAATGATGCAGTTAGAATTACTACAATAGAAATAACCACAACAACAAGTGTGCCAGCAGTGAGAGCTAAATTTACTAACCCTTGCGCACAGATTGCATCCCTTCTACTGAATTGATACTCAAATTTTCAACTGCACTTGAAGGCACCATTTCCCCCCTCATGTTTCCGATTGTCTCTCGATAGATACATTAACGCGGTTGATCCGGAAATAAGTACTGTTGACAATCGGTAGGCCGCGGTCACTGAAGACGTGGGGGACCCCTTGGTGAAAAATGGCCCCCAAAACCAAGAAAGCTGCTTTAGCAGACATGCTGGAGAATCTGTCAAAGTCTGACTTTGACAAGTTTTGCAGCCATCTGTTGGACCGCAGGGAGGAGCCGCGCGTCCGGCGCAGACAAGTGGAGGGAAAAAACTTCCTACAGATCGCAGACGTCCTGGTTTCTACCTTTACCGAGGCTGGAGCTGTAAAGGTGGCTGTGGAGTTGTTGGGATGTGCTAACTGCGGGCAGGAAGTAGAAGAACTCGGTAAATATGTGACTATACCTAAAGGGTTTCATGCAGAACACATATGAGGTCGGGCTTGCTTTGCAGGACATTCAAAGTGGCCTATTATCACAAAAATCAGCAACAATTAGGTTACAACGTTAAGAAATATGTTTTTTTTTGTGCAATCATACAAAATGTAGTTGAAATAGAATAGTTTATAACACAAATTAAAGTAGCCTTTTTGAACGAGCCCGCTCCCTTTTTACTTTCGCTTTCGCTGACCACTAACCAAAGATCGTCTATAATAAAGATTAACCACCACGAGATTTCCTCCATTCCAAGCAGTAGCTCTCATTTCCCTCTTAGAAACGGTCAAATATATTGGATTTTCAGTAAAGAATTACATGTGATATTTCAGTGATAGTCCCTCCTAAACTTTTGTTGATTTAGTCTAAGTGATTTTGGAAGTGATGGTTCTACTTCAAGTTTAATCTCTTTATAATATAATTCTTGTCGTGATGCAATAGCGATACATTGCTCCCTGCTTCTCAAGAGGTGGCTACACCAACAAGGATTATAGATACAGATAAAAGAGCAGTGTCATTAAAAATACACTAATGCCCAATGGAAGCACTCATAGTGTGTGGATTTTCTTTGACATATGTTTTAATTTATTAGGATTCATGTTTAAAAAAAGATTTGTGCTTTTGAGTATTTCAAATCTTATGGGGGCGCTGGTGGCTCATTGGTTAGTGCGTGCGCACCATGTACAGAGGCTATAGTCCTCCAAGTGGCCCAGGCTCGAATCCGACCTCTGCCTCCTTTCCTGCATGTCATTCCCCACTCTCTCTCTCTCCCTGATTTCCGACTCTTTCCACTGTCCTGTCTCTACAATAAAGGCACAAAAAGCCCACAATAAACCTTTAAAAAAAAAGTCCTGTGAACATCCAAAACTTAGAAATCCACTGATGTATTTTCACTGACTAATACGTTAACAGTAGAACTCCAAACCTTATGAGATTGAGAAATGAACCTTCAAACCGACAACCCTTTGGAAGACACTTTAGCTCAGTTGAGGGAGCAGGCCGCCCCATGGGCTACAGTCCTTGAGGAATCGACTGCAGATTCAACTCCAAAGCTCAGACCTGCGATGCATGTCGACTGCAAATTTCCTGTCTCTTCAGCTGTCCTATCAATAAAGGTTAAAAAGGCCAACAAAGAAACATCTTTTAAAATCTTGAAAACTCATTTATTGGTAATTCAAAAATGAAAACAATCGACTTGCCATGAAAAGTTAATTAAAATAAATGTCCTTAATTTGGTCCTGGTGGTCCACCATGAAGAGAAGGGACTTCACCTCTCTATAGCATAATCCACGTTGCATCTACAGATGTACAAACCTCACAGTTATGCTTGTTTTGTTTCCATCACATACTGACACTGTGTCCTTTTATTGCAGTTACAGTGATAGCTGGACTTGACTCAAAACCCGGGACCAGAGACAGTGAGTTGTTTTCCTGTTTTCAGTTTGTCCTGTGGGAAGGGGGGGGGGGGAGTCTAAAACCAATCCAATCCTTTTCTCTGTTTTTGTTTTTAGCTGCAAGACCCTCAGCCGGAGCAGCTGGTGTAGATACCACATCAGATGGTAGGAGGACACGTCGTATAAGGCTGTCATGAAAGAAGTCATGGATCATATCCTTCAGTATCTGACTGTAAAGGTCACTTTGTAATTCACCACAGAGGTGGATATTTCAAACAAGCCAAACTTTTCTGATCTAAACAGAGTTCAGGCTCAAGAAACAGAAAGCTGATAATTGCTACTAATGAGTATAAAGGAATATTTTGACGAGTTGAAAAGATGTGCATTATTTTTATGGGTTAGATGAGAATATTTATACCACTATGATATAAGTAGAGTTGGCTTCAGCTAGATTAGCATCAGGACTGGAGGTAAGGGCAAACATCTTGATGGCTAAAAAAAAGCTGTCTTCCAGCAGATCTACAGCTCACTGGCTGACAAGTAGGGCTGCACAATATTGGAATAAAACAGACAGTGCGGTATTTTTTCTCTTTATGATATATGTTGGATATGAAAGTGTAAGTAATGCTAGATAATCAAAGGTAATCTACACACAAACAGTAATTACAGATGATACTTTTTAAAGCACTCTTTAAGAATAAGATCGCTCCTCTTGTAATATAGAAATGAGAGAGACCCTTTTCTCTGAGACTTCTAAACAATACATTTTCTTTCTTTTCAACAAGTGAAGTCAGGCACAGAAAATAGTGTCTGATCCTACCTTCTTTCTTCACTCTGAGTTTCAGCTTTTCCCCTCTGGGTGAAGAGTCAGGGTCCCTCAGACCCGGCTGAACAGTTACAAACATTCATTTGTGCCAATGTCCGTTAATATTCTGAATGACAGGTAATGTAGGATGTGCCCAGGGTCCGTGCAATATGCCAAATGTTACTGCTGCAAGAAGGTGTTTTTATGTATATGGAATTGTTACATGAAATGCTTTATGTTTTGTATGATCTATATTTATGTATTTTCACTCTCTTGTAACTGCAGGACAGAGTCCAAAAATGATTTCCCTTTGGGGAAGATAAAGTAAATCTTGATCTTGATATCTTGATCTTGAAGTCGGCCCCTGCTGGCCATTACAAAGAATGCATGTCTAATGCACCTCCATGTTGGCTTATTTTGGGGTTTTTAGAATATGCCAACTATTTTCTGCAGACTAAAGTTATCAAGTTGGCTTTACGTTATCTCAAACTACAAACAGTCCTTGACTATTTTTTTTTCTCCTTTCTCTCAGACAAACACTTTGTGGATAAATATAAACTCCAGCTCACCGACAGAGTGAGCCACATGGATCCCATTCTGGATCGGCTCCTCGATAGAGGTGTCCTCCAGCCTGAGGCTTACGATACAATCAGAGCTCTGCCCACCTCTCAGAAGAAGATGAGAGAGCTCTACTGCGGTTGCCTGAAAGCTGGTACTGCTAGCAAAGATGTCTTCTACGAAATCCTTCTGGAAAATGAGAAATTTCTCATTGACGACCTCAATACAAAGCACTAAATGTTGGGGTGAAATCTTTTTTAGACCAAAACCAGTTTTTAATACATGAATAATTGGGAAATATTCATTGCAATGTTATGTCTCTATGTGGGTTTCCTATTTGACTTTTGACCAGATTCAGCAAATATGATGATCATGCAAAAATAATGAACACAATTTATAATTGAAGAGCTCTCCTTTTTGAACCTCATTAATTGATGTGAATTAAAACCGAATTATATGAATTCTGCCAAATGCTAAAAGATTGTTTTTCCAAGTCTTTTTTTAAATACATTTTCATAAACACCATAATATCATAACACAGTCGGGGAATAGAGTACAGAGCTGAAATGTACCGTTGACTCGTCTCTACCTCATGAAAAGCTGCTGCCAGTTTCGCTAAGCCAGTCAGATGTGTGTTTCTTGCAAAGGGTGCACACCGTTCTGAATGTTTTACTAGATGTTCCCGGCATGTATATCTATTAACCCCATGAGTTTGGTGACGATACGTTGGGTCGTTATGATTTTATGAATTATCAAAGTTAAATGACCATGTAATAATCCTAACTCGGCATACGAAGCTGCTGATCAGTGTAGCTCCCAATCAACAGCGGGAACTAAAGACTCGCTGAAAGTTTGGTGGGATTCGGACCATGCTACGTCATGATTTTAATTATAACTTTTTTACCCTACAAGGATACTGTTACATTTGGATGGTGTTTAAAAATGTCTGCGTCATTGAAACGTTTTCTAATCTTTAATAAAACATTCAAATTTGTATGTGTGGTTTTAATATGTTGAGTGTGAAGTCTCTTTAAAATTGTAAAGTAAATACAGTGATGTAGAATTCACTCCTGTTTCGACCTTTACCTACAAGTAAAAAAAAAATATATATTTTCATCTAAATATTGATTGTTTCCGTATCTCTTCAGAGAAGTTCAAGTCCTTACAGTCACATTGTTGTAAAGTTGGATGTTGTAAGAAAGAAAATATTCAAATTTTAACTTTTTCAAATACAGTTTTAAAACTACAAACATGTATACAGTGGTATGTACACCAACTATGAATAACAAGGTGTATTCGTTCATTCATGTGATGTAAGAGTGTACTGCACACGCATCTACCTTTCACATTTTTAACAGCTGTTATTTGTTTATAAGCGATCAGTAAACTGGAGGTTGGTTTTGAGGAGCAAAGGGGCTTTGTTAGATAAATAGAGACAAAGAAACACGTTTTACATTAATCATTATTTACATTAATAAAGTTTCATATAAGATCATTAATGATCTTCGTGTTTGGAAAAATGTTATGTGTTCTGATTTCCCTATAATTTAGAACCTAATAAATCATTTTTAGTGTTCCTAGGACATTTTAAAGTATTTGTGTTTATAAAATACAGAGTTCATTATCGGATTATCAGTTAAAAAAAAAAAAAAAAGCCCACAAATAGGCCTCATCAATGGACAATTCAATATTAAAGCTTTTTGCATGTAGAAATTGTCCTCATGGTTTTAAGCAGACTGCAGGTTGTTTGTGTTATCAGGTAAAATAAAGAGACTAAACACTATTACTGTGTTTGTATTTCATTAGAAATAACACAGTGCGTATTTGTGCAGACACAAACAGCTGTTAAAGCTGACTGACAGCTGAACATGATCAGCTGATGTCATCGTCACTAAGGTGGGATGGACCATAGACTTTAAACAGCAGGGATATCATAGCTATGGTCAGGCAGTGGCTCATGTGGAGTTCAGATCAGCTGTGTAGCAGAGTAATGACAGGTCCATAACAAAGATAAAAACAAAGCTAACTCCGCAACGAGTAACTTTCACATATTCGGCGCTGCTTCTGCTTTAATATGCATTTTTTTAACAGACAGGGTGAGTGCAATTTGGTCATCAGGAGCCACAAATTAAAAAATAAACATATGTTCAGTTTGAAGGCTGTTTCACTGCTACCAGCTTAGTGACGCTGCCACGTTTACTTAAACTTTATAATTATAAAAAACAACAATGTAACGGTATCAAACAACATGCGCTGAATGAAAGTGAGAGCACATGTATGATTTTAAGACATTAAATAATACTGCTTAACGTTCAATGACCTACATGTGAATAGGAGCTGCCCCTTCTTCTTCTTCTTCTTCTCGTCTTCTTCCACTTTTGGGTTTAATGGCGGTAGGAAACCAGCTTAAAGGCGCATTACCGCCACCTATTGGACCGGAGTATAAAACAAGCAAGACAGGGAAAGCAAAAAAAAAACAACTGGATAAGTACCTAAATTCTTTATATTTTCTCTTTATTTCTGTTTCTTTAAAATTTGTCATTAATTAATTCATTGTATATTTTAAAAGATCCAGTTAAGAGTTGTTTCTTTTAGCAGTGCTGCTCTCCGTCGGCCATGCAGCAACTATGACTGATCAACACCTGGGGGTCTGGGAGGAGATCCCCCAGGACACCATCCGACGACTCATCAGGAGGATGTCCAGACATGGTCAGGAGTGCATACAGTTTATACAGACTGAGTCAAATTAAGAGATGTTGTGATGAAAGTTGGATAAGGCTGGGATTTCAGTAGTTTTTACTTTCACTGTGATTTGGAATCCAGCCCTCAATGGGTTGAAGATTTTGGTTTCAATTGACTCTCGTTAGCTACGTCAATTTGTTCCTAACAAATCATACAACGTATAGGCTATGTCACTGAAGATGTTCCACTTAAACAATTCGTTCACCAACATCTGATTTGTGATTTAAGTGTTCCCTTGGTTTTTGTGAGCAGTTTATTTTCAAATGTCTTGTGATCAATTTAATACTTAATGGGTAAAATAAAAGTAATAAAACAAAATAAAATACAAATTGTGCACACACACGTTTGAGAAGAGCTTATTTTGCATAATTTCCTCTTCTCGTAAAAATGAAACAAATAAATGAGCAGCACACATTACAATCAGATTACCATCAATTGAAAAGTAAGTAGCCTATATGATGTAGGGCAACAGTTCAGATTAGACTATATTAGGTGTCCCAAGGTTGTTTTTTTTTTGATAAATGCCCAGGGAGTCAAACTATTCAAACAATATGTCACATATCTTTGTGTATGAAAATAATTGTTTGTACAGGTTGACTGGACGTTCGGTCCTACAATAGGTATCACAGAAACATTTTTCTACAGCATTTTGCAGAAGAGTACCATCTTCTCCTCTACAGATTCTAACTTTCATGTTGGCACATGAGAAATGCAAGAAAATAGACTTCATTAAAAAAATAATTATTTGTTCCAAAAATGTTAAAAACAAGGTTCTATATGCAGAATCGTGGAAGGTTAAAATGTGGATATACAGTGTTGTATTACTTGAACGGTAGAGGTCTTGATCTTGTGTAGGAATCGCAAGCATTTTGGCTCGGTCTTGTCTCAGTATCAGACAAGGCGGACTCCAGACCTTCCCGGTGTAACGGTCTAAATTAGTGGCATGTCCCCCTGCACACAAGATAATGATTTTTCATTGATATTTATGGTCGAGTTCTTGTCTCGGTCTCGACCTGCCTTGGTCTTGGTTATGGACTCAGTCTCGATCCTTAAATGTCTTGTTCTTCTCGGTCTCGGAGTATTCTCGTCTCGGGTATTTCTTGGTCTCGGTTAGAGCGGTCATGACTACAACACTACATTTGAATATACTTTTTTTTTAGTATGAAGGAGTCTTGCTGTGTTTGCGGAGAGACAGCTGATTATAGCTTCAGTTTTCTGAAAGATAACTCAGCCATCTTTCATTGTATGTCCTTAATTAAATCTGAAAGCCTTGTGTTGAAACGTGATATGCAGTCTTTTGGTCACTGGCAAAAAAACACATTGTTCTTTTCCCTAATGTGGTTCATTGGCGGTCTCTCAACCGGTTCGATCCGCAGCTCCTGAGCAACAAGTCCGATGAGTACTTGGACAAGACACTTAATTCCAAATTGCTCCCGCTCCAGACTCCTTCCTCTTGAGATCATCCACAAGATATGACTCCTCCTTCTCAAGGATTTGGTAGAAGACGTCTTTTGCTTTTTGTCCTCCAGATTTTAGGGGACCACGAAAGAGCTTCCTCATCTTCTCCTGAGTGGTTGGGGTATCTCTTATTTGATCATAAACTTCTTGACGGATTACACCTTTTTCCAGTAGCTTATCCAATATTGGTCCAATATTGTTCACATTTGCTTTCAGGTCACACTGGTGTTTATCCACAAAGTGCACCTCTGAAGGGGAGACAAAAATGAAATGATTTACTTTCATATCTGGCGATGTCAGATTCTTTTAGAATCACAAAATGAAAGTGTGAATTGCAAAGTGATAAAAATATGATCATCAGAAATGAACATTCAAAATGTCATTGGGTTTCTGTGGATTTATTCTACAATTCATTTAGCACACTTTTATCCAAAGCAACAAACATCAGAGAATAAGTACAACACAAGCAAGGATCTAGAAAAGGAGGAAAAAACGTTAGTTAAGCGAACAAACAGCTTAAAGTCTGATCAGACACACAGGTGCCGACAGCTCTTCGTGAGAGTGCTAATCAGCATCAAACCAGTCTAAATAATGTAATTACCAAACAAAACCATTGTCATTGTCATTATCATCATTATCGACATCAATAATATCATTAAGGTCGTAGGTGTTCATAAAGAGCTGGGTCTTAAGCTTTTTCTTAAAGGTGCAAAGGGACTCTGCAAATAAAATTCCACCACCGGGGGGCGACAGAGGAGAAGAGTCTAGTTAGCGTCTTACAACCCTCGGGCGAATCGACATGTCCGGGCAATCGAGGCCACTTGAACCTTAAATGTTAGCTGGTCATCAATCACGACACCCAGCTTCCGGGCAGACTTTGCGGGAATGAGTTTGGTTGTACCAAGTTGGATATTGATCTGTGGTTGCATAGAGGGACTGGCTGGGATGACAAGGAGCTCAGACTTTGAACGGTTGAGTTAAAGGTGCCGTTCATTCATCCATGTAGAGATATCAGCAAGGCATGACAGGAAGAGAGCTGGGTATTGTCAGCATAGCAGTGGTATGAGAAGCCATGAGAGCGGATTATTGAACCAAGTGAGCTTGTGTATATGGAGAAGAGAAGGGGAACCAGCACTGACCCTTGGGGCACCCCTGTTGATAAATTGTGTGCTTCTGACACTACTCCCTTTCAAGACACTCTAAAAGATCTCCTTGAGAGGTAGGACACGAACCAGCAGAGGGCAGATGCTGAGATGCCAAGTTCAGAGAGCGTGGATAGGAGGATTTGATGGTTAGCTGTGTCAAAGGCAGCAGACAGGTCTAGCAGTAGAACAGAGAACCATCCCGCAGCTATAGCCGCTCGTAGCGATTCTGTTACGGGCAGTAATGCAGTCTCAGTAGAGTGGCCCCGTTTATAACCTGACTGATTTGGGTCAAATAGATCATTTGTGGATAGAAACTCAGAGACCTGATTAAAGACTGTGCGCTAGATTACATTTGACAGATAGGGAAGTGAAACCGGTCTGTAGTTTTCAAACTGGGCTGAGTGTGGGTTTATTTATGTTAACTGTATAGTTTTAGCATTCATTCTCTATCGGCAAATTATAAAGTGAAACTCTTTTGCGAAATAAGCTACATAAATGTTTCTGGTAAAAATATGAATATAAAAAAGAACTTCGATCATGAAGTAAACTCTTGTGCCAGGTTGCTCTAACAGAACAGCACACAAAAGGGCAACACGAAGAGCATCAAATAAAATGTTTTTTTTTTAAATTGCAAAAAAGTATTACAAAGTAATTAGGGGGTAAAGGTTTCATTCAAAGAAAATCGGTGTAAAAAAAGGATAACAGAGTAAGATAAGAACAAATAATAATCATTAACAGTTCAGACACAGTGCTAGGCTCTATTTATGCAGACTCCAGGTAGTGACCACGCCGATAATACTACATGATAATAAAGAAATATAATTTGCTCTGGAGGATTTGTCTTATCTAGTTGTGACATGGCACATTTCAATTTCATGGCATATTTCTGTGATAAAAGTAAAACCCTGTTAAAGACTGCATGCTCCTCACAATCTGAACTGTTTGTGTTTCAGTCTAATCAAACTTTACTGAATTTAAACATGTATAAACGACTGAACAATTACAGACATTTTTAACAATGCAACTTGTTCAAAATAAATTGTCGCCTCCAACAATTAAAAAAGCATATTTACTGTTGATATATCAAAAATATCTATACTTAGCTGCCATGACATGATATATCAGCACGCAAAATATGGTGATACTATAATGTATCGATTTTTTTCCCCACCTCTACAATTTATCAACACTATTTTCATATTCCCTTTCAAGTGTGTATTAAAAAAAAATAAAACACACAAATGGCCCACCTTAGAGCAAGAGTTTGGATTGTCCACTGCAGACTTAACTAGTGTTGATTTTGATTTTCTATGGCCAATATCACTCAACAGTACATCACAAATAAATATGGTGGTCATTTTTTTTCTTGTCTTTCTGACCTTAACAGCCATTATAGTGTAACACAGTGCGAAGGCTGTTAAGATCTAAATGTTGGACTGTTGAAAAAGACTCAGGGCCATAGGAGAGGACTGTCTTACCACAATGCAGAGCAGTAAAAATACCGGATATAATGTATTCCCCAAATCTAATATTGATCATTTCCCTTTTTTTCAGCATCTCGTCTCGAACAGTGATGCTGACAGTAAGAAAGATAGAGTTGTTCTTCCAAACACATAAAGAATGATTACTTAAAATGTCTTACCTGGTGCATGGGAAGTGCCTTGGTAATCATCTGAAAAGTAAAATGCTTAGATCAATAATTTATTTTTGACTTTCTGCTTTGTTTAAAAAGACACACCTACTCTGTTTTCACTAATAATTCTAGAGAGTTAAACACCCGTTTTAGTGTATTCAAACCTTTTCGAATTGTGCGGGTCCAAACTGGTGCATTACGGAATAGGGACCAAGACTAAGAAAGGTTCAACAAAAACCCATATGAAGCGGCAGAAAAGGGAGCCAGCCAACTTTCTGGGGGCGGCTGTGGCTCAGGTGGTAGAGTCATCGTCTCCCAATCGGAAGGTTGAGGGTTTGATCCCTGCAGCAACTTGTCCGATGTGTCCTTGGGCAAGACAATTAATCCCAAATTGCTCCCGCTGTTTGTCGGCGGTGTGTGAATGGGATTAGTTACTTCTGATGGTCTCACTACATAGCGACCACTACCATCAGTGTGTGAATGGGTAGGTGTGACATGCGGTGTAAAAGTGCTTTCAGTAGTCAGAAACTAGAAAAACGCTTTCCAAGATCAAGTCCATTCACCATCGCCTGGAAGAGCTAATCCGAGGCACCACCCTTATGTAAATTTCCCCAATGTGGGATAAATAAAGGATTATCTTATTTTATCTTACCTGGTGCATGGGAATTGCTTTGGTAATCATCTGAAAAGTGAAAAGTAAAATACTTACATCAATAATTTATTTTTGATCTGCTGCTTTGTTTAAAAGCAGACACCTACTCTGCATCAGTAACAATTCTAAGTAAAAAAAACAGTTTTAATGTATTCAAACCTTCGTCAATTGTGCGGGTCCACACTGGTGTACTCTCATTTTTTTTTGTAAGCTTGAGGGTGAAGTCTGTGTCTGGATTTCTTATACATACTTGAAAGTACTGTGGATCAGTGAATTCATATTTGAGCTTGACTTCCTGTGGGGGAAAAATGTGTGAAAGACATTGAAGTAATGTAGCACCAGATTTTTTTAAATTGCTATAATTTATGCATTTTTCAAAAAGGTAATATGTTCTTTTGAATCAAAAAGACAAAAAGCCTATTACGTAAATTTGTCAACTGTGCAGAATGTGTGAATTAGCCATTCAAAAGTGAAGTTCTGTTGTTATCATCTGTCTCTGTGGCATCAAGAATAAAGAAGACGCTGCGGTGGGATTACTATGGTGCTCTGAAAGCGTCATAAAGCACACAATATAGATGATTAAAACAAATTAATGCATTCAATTTGGACCTTAATCACATTGTGATTAACGCATTATTATTGACAACCCTACTTTTAAATTATTGTTCAATTTGACTTATCCAACAGTATCCAACTATTCAGAACCACAGTTCATAGATTTAAATGCAGCTCAAAACATACTTTGGGACAAATTACTGCACCATCCATATCGGTTGATAGGATAAAGTGATTCTTCATTCTCAAGTGCTTATATTCAGGTGGTTTTCGAATTTCTTTGTTTCCGTTGGTTGATTCAATCTTGAGAATTTCCTGTAGAAAAAAAACACAATAGAAAGTTGCAACAAAAGCTGATTTGTGATAATTTTTGGTACAATCATGATTTGAATCATAATCAGGATAAGTAATAACCTGTCGAAGACCAGGATCACACGGGATCAGATAAACATTGAGCTTGAGGAATGCTTTGTTGTTCTTAAATATCAACACGCTGCAGCGTGTTTTCACAGGCACACCAACTCTGATCAGAACCCCCTTTGGCGAGAAAACTGGTTCAGCTAACTTGACATGGCAAGGCGTGACCTCGGAAACTTGTTCCACAACATCACCACAGTCATCGATGTGGAGGACGGCAAACTCTCCTAATATGTCAGTGTTGCCGTCTGAACAAAATACAAATGCACACATAAGTGAAAAGAAATAATTGCATCAGTTTTTCTTTTAAATGATGTTAGTTGCTAAATTGTAAAGGTCACATATTATGCAAAATACACTTCACCATGTTTTCAGAACACTAATATGTGTCCATAGTCTGTCCAAAAACCCAATTATGAGAAAAGTCCATCCTCTCCGTCTATTGCCTGCTTCCATTTTTTTAGAATATATATGCTCAAACAAGTCGTTTGGAGATTTCCCCTTATTGACATCACAAAGGGCAGTAACCCCTCCCCCAGGTGGGTGACACCCGGTGTTTGTTCTGCCCGCTAAGTCTGCCCTAAACAATAGTCATGGTCCAAGAAAGCCTGAGTCAACCACGCTAGAGGGGCGTGGTCAAACACAGCTCATTTGTATGTAAAGCTACAGACACAGAAATAGCCTGTTCTGAGCAGGGCTGAAATAGAGAGGTTCATAGGAATGATCTAATACAGGATCAGAGTGGATTTTTTGCAAGAAACTTCACAGGCATGTTTTGGGGACCTCTGAGACTTACCATATTTAAACTGGGTTAAAAGGAGGATAATATGTGACCTTTAAGTTATTTTCTATATTTCCACTCACCTATGCAGATCCAGTGTGGCAGGTACACTTCATCAAACTTTCCAGCAATGACTTTGATGTTCATTAGAGGACCTGCAGGCAAGTATTTCAAGCTTTCCATCCTCTCAATGTGTTCCTCCCAAGAGCAAAACTTGTACTGAAAGCTGACCTTATCCTTACAGATCCAGCGAATGCCGGAGACATTGCATTCAAAACCGTTTCCTGCTTCACTCTGTAGGCTAAGTGACACAGAAAGACATCAATGAGTTTGTATATAACTGTACTGTAGTGTTTTAGGCACAAAAGGAGTAACAAAAAAAATTCTCATTTGCTGTTGGTCAGTATTAAGGAAGATATTTGTACCTGTATGTAGGAGACTCATCTCCATCAGTACTGTTCACTTCAGGATCAAGTTTGGTCCAGTGACCAGAGTCCGGCTGAGAGAGACAATCATTTTATATTGGCAACAATGAATGAATAAATAAAAAAAATACTGAATTAAAAAGAAACAGAAAAAATGAATGATGGATGGGATTACCATTTCTTGTCCACAGTCGTCAGGCTCCACACAACCAAAAGGCCCTTGGAAAGACACAAAGGTTTCTTTAAAGTATGTTACTCAGACATATATTATCAAATAGTAACCTTACATCTCTTATATGTATCTCTTATTTTCTGCCTTCGGGTCGGGGTTATAGAACACTGACCTGGAAGAGGGCACGCTTCAAAAAGAGCTCTAAACAAGCTTCCACGCTGACTGACCCCTTCTTCTTATGTGTTTTCCTACCTGTGTTATATGTTTCTACTTACTGTTATATGTTCTCTTCATGTATAGCCTACCAACCGTGATATCAAATTTCCCCCCTGGGGGACAATAAAGTACTGTATTGTAGATCTACTGCCCTAGACCAGTCATGGTTATACGCTATACCCTGAAGTTTATCTTCGGGAGCTATAGTGTTGCAAGACATTGTGCAGCTTATCTGGATGGATATACAATTATCAATAACTTGAATTAAGAAAATAAAACTTAATTTACACCTATGTCAACCAGTCAAGTTACTGTTTAAATCAATCAGTGTTTTCCAAAATGTGACAGTGTAACTGTTGCTGGGGCAGTGATTGTATATCAAAACATCGGTGTCGCATAAGAAGGCTTACAGTAGAGGGTCAATGGAACTATATTAGCAGAGAACTTCCCTTTTTATCTGTGTTTGTCTGCAGAGCATGTGAATGTTCGTAAACCCTTCTCCTAACAGCTGGAGAAAAAAAAACATGAAGAAAAAGGGTAGTGTGTTCAAAACTTTGGACCTACATTTTGAGAATTTGTACGCATGATGTTCTATCAGACTTTTTTTTTAAAAACCATCCCAACATAATCCCTTTTATCCATTGCTGTGATTTTGCTGTCATGAGAATGGGACTGATGTGAGGTGAGTGACTTTAACCTTTGATCACACTATTGCTTTATCCTAGTGGTTGTTTGTGCAAACTTTAAAGATATTTACTCCAGACACTCTAGTTAAAAACATGGGACATTCAACAAACAAATGGACAGAAAAGCCTAAAAACATGTCGCCTCCGTCCCCTGCTGATCAGCGTCACAGAAGCATTATAAAACAAAAAAAAAGATGGAGGTTTAAAAATGCAGTCCAGGTTCTGTACACCTAATGTTTTATAGTCAAATAACACTTTTTTTTTTAAACTTACCTTTAGATACTGAGCTGCTTTCTGACAACTTTCCGACCAGATCAGTCCTGTTCATCCTCTCTAAAATATCCTCAGTCACCTCCACACAGCGTTGGCCATAGATCTCCACCATCAGCTTCACTATCTCATCTTTGTCTGCAGTCTCCACTTGGTCCTTTGGGATTTTTGGGAGCCCTTCTTTCATTTTAGTGTGGAGCAAGACATGTTTGAATTTCTCCAGGTCCCCTGAACCTAATTCTTCCAGTGTTTCTAAAAGCTGTGAATGGACCGATGTCATGGTTGATTCCTGCTTCATCAAAAAAGTAAGTAAATATTGTTAATTAAATAGTTAGAAATGAAAACTGTAGAGTGTCTGATGTAACATTACTCACATGTTGTGGATCTTTTTGCTGAAGTTTCTCTAAGGGGGGAGAGAAACGGACTCAATCAAATCAGACAAAAAGCAGCTTTAGTCAGTTTTAGTCGTTTTGTGAATAAAATATAACATGGCACCATCTCAACATCTTAAAAATAAATAAAAAATGTACAACTTATGTGGGTTGGATGTGCGGTATTTGGCAAAAAGTTAAACTTAAATGTACTCATTATTAACGTCACAAAAACAAGGAGGCTTGATTCAGCTCAACAATGTCTGTAGTCGTAGTATTTAATGAAGCATATATATTTGTGTAATGTGTCAGTTTTCATCCTCTTACTCTCAGTGTTGAATCCTGAACTGGTCCCTGAGAGCGTCTCTAGCAGATCAGTCTTGTTCATTCTCTGTAAAACGTCTTTGGTCAGCTCAACAGACTGTTGGCCATAGATGTCCACCATCAGCATCACTATATCATCTCTGCCTGCCGTCTTCATTTGTTGTTCTGGGGCTGGGAGGCCTTTTTCTTGGGCGATATGCAGCAGGTGTTGCTTGAATAGCTCGTGCTCTTTATATCTTAAGCCTCTCAATGTTTGCCGAAGTGTCCAATGAAGTGATGTTACGGTGGATTTCTGATGGAGTCAACATAATCAGAGAGCGTTTATGTGCTTCATCTCAACTGTAGACAAAACTTTGGTTCACTGGCATCAACATTAAGTTATGACAGTATTGTCACATCTACATTTCTGAACTTTTAACCCCTTATGAACCAGGACTCAGTCTGAGCTCCTCTGGCAGATCTCCGCTGGCTGTTCCAAGGTCCAGGCTGAAAACGAAAGGGGACAGGGCTTTTGTTGACAGAGCCCCCAGACTTTGGAACAGCCTGCCAGAGGAGATCAGACATGCAGAGTCAGTCCTTCGTTTTAATTCTCTACTTAACACATTGTTTTACAAAAAAGCTTTTAATCTGTGGTTTCATTTTGAATTTTAATCTTTTATTCTATGAGTCTGCTTTTATTGTCTGTTTGTCTTACTGCCTGTCTGCTGCTTTTATATTCGGTTTGCTTTTATTGTCTGTCGTAAAGCACTTTGTTACCTGTATTAAAATGTGCCATACAAATAAAGTATTATTGTAAAAAAAGACCCCTGCCCCTTTAAGACTAACAACTCCAGAGGGAGGATTGCACATGTGGAGAAGCTGCAGTAAGAGAGAGAAAGTCAGCATCGAAAGTACAAGTTTTGCAGTCAAGAAGTAAAATTTATGTTTTGGTGAGAGCTGGAGATTGTGCTTCAATAATAGAAGTTCTTTTTGTGTTTATTTCATACTTTTCTTTCTGTTAGCGTTACTGGAAATACTTTTAATTTGTTAGCATTCTTTGAGCTATTTGAAAGCTAAATGCATATTGTTTATGTTCATTTAGACAGCATGGTGTAAGAAAGCTGATGTGTGTATTTAGCATTTCTAATGTTTGAATGTGTAGCCAGACAAGATCACGCATCTCTAACATGACGACTTTAACCAGCAATTAAGCCATGTGGCTACATCACCTTGCTAATTGAGGTCTTTGATGTTTATTAGAGGTTGTGTGTAATTTGTATACACATTTTCATTTGTACTTGTTTGTTCTGTTTTAATAACCACAATTCCACAAATCCAGAATTCATAGATTCCTATCATTCAGATTAAAGGAACCTAAAACCCTGATGATTAACCCTTTCTTCAACCACCACACCACAGTTATAACTGACTCTCCACAGTGATTTACACAAACCCATCAGAATCAGTATTCACTCTTTTTCAATTATTATTATTATTTCTCTGCATTTCTACATTTCCCCTAGCAGACGCATTTATCTAAAGCAACATACATCAGAGAGTAAGTAAAACACAAACAAGGATCTATAAAAAAGGAAACAATGTCAGTAAGAGCAAACAAACAGCTTTAAGTCTGATCAGACACACAGGTGCTGACAGGCAAAGCACAACCTCAACAGCTTATTGTAACAATAAATATCAAGCACAATTAGTCACAGTGACACCATGATGATTTCAGATTTGAAGTTTACTGTAGTGACCAATTTTAACCAATCCAATATTTTCTAAAAAAAAGTCACTTGAGGGATGAATATGGAAGATATTTAGGATTTGTGCTCAGCTCTAAGGATGAAACGATGTCCCACTGCATCCATATGCTAAATAATAGACCTCTGACAGGCTGCCAGGGTTGAAAACTATTCATTCACCTGCTACCATCACCTGGAGCACAGAATCAGCTCAGGCTCCACACGGTGTCCAGTAAAGGGATTACACACACACACACACACACACACATACCCAAAGGAAAACTAAAGGGCAAAACATAAACCCACATTTTGGCTCCAACAATTTCTATAAAAACAAAGTATTCTTAAGTGTGTTCTTTTTGTAACATCATCACAACATAGTACTTTTTTTGTCCTCCTTCTTTACCATCTGCAGCTGAAAACCTTTTCCACCACTTTACTATCAAGATGAGAATAATTATGTTCATGTAACGAAAACATGAAATAAATGGAAACCTTGTTGTTTAATGTGTTTCTGATTTTACTTTACTCACTTGATGAGGCAGTTCAGGCTGATGTTTCTCTGAAGAGAAATAAAAAATAAAAAGTTAATAAATCTTCACAAACCTTAAAGGGCCATGCTTGACGTCAGCCTCAGATCAGAAATACAATATTTTATTATTTGACATAACAAAGGTCAGTGGCTAATGTTACAATGTTACAATTTCATTTAGCAGACGCAGACGAATAAATCTGGCATTAAACTGAAAAGTCCAGAGGTCTGTACTACGAAGCAGGATTTGGGGTTAGCGAGGTAACTTCAGGGTTAACCCTGGGTTTTCAGTCCTACGAAGGTGGTTCACTTCTAACCTGGGTATATCACCACGGTAACCTATGCTGCACACCTAACCTGCTGCACACCTAAAAATCTCCGCCACTGAACAGTCAGATCTCTTGATCTTGGAGCTCCCGCAGCTGATCGAGAGAGCGGAGGAGGGAGAGAGACCGACCAACACTTCATGTGTCCCGTATAATTTTACATTTGTCTTGAACTTCTTCTTATTTTTAATTTAGTTCAGAGTTTGTTGGATATAACGATCTGCTGACGGCAGACGCAGTGATGATTGTGATTGGTTAAATTAAGCTAACTCCGCCACTTTTATATGATTGGAAAAATTAACCCACAGGTATAAAACAGGTTTGTTATCTTGTGTAAAAAAAAATAATTTATTTGTGATCTCGTTACTTTTGTTGTAATTGTGAAATATCAAATATCTTTAAACATAAATGTGTGTAATGTGGCAGTGTTTGTTTTCTTTCTCTCACCTTGAAGTCCTGAGTCTGTCCCCATCAGCCTCTCAACTAGATCAGTCCTGTTCATGTCCAATAAAACCTCTTTGGTCACCTCCACAGGCTGCTGGTTCATCACCATCAGATGCACCAGTTCATCTGGAGTTGTTGCCCACTTCATGTGGTGCCACTGGATTTGTGTAAAACTCCTCTGGAAGTATGTGAGCTGCAGCACCCACTTAAATTTCTCAAACTCCTCAAGTTTCAAACCACTCAATGTTTCTGAAAGAACATGTTCCACATCTTCCTTTACCATCTAAAAATATCAAAGACAATAAACAAATTAGTCATTTCTCCAATGGTAAAATCAAAAAGGAACATCTCTGGGGATTTAATCAGAGATGTAGGGAAGTTATCGGAATACTTTCTCCATGATCACTTGAGATTAATACAATAGGTAACATTTCTTTTATTGGCTATGTTAACAGGGTTTCTTCAAAAACACATTGTTCTTAATGTTTGTATTTTGCTGTAGCAACATAACATAGAAGATCCCTCTATCCCTTCACCCTTAAATCTCTGTTAAACTGAATACAACTACATGATTTAATGCAACATGTGAAATCTTCCACAGCACTTAACATGAAGCATTTCCTTTAAAACATCTGAAATACAGAACTCAAATACTACAGAGCTGAACTTTACAACCAATTATATCCATTTGTTTTGGTTTGTATCATAATTTGCAATGTTCAAAGACTTGGATGTTTTTTAATCTGCATCAGACAAATCAGGCTGTGAAATGTAAAAAACGGACTCACTTTTTCAAAGACTGGAGGTTGATGCTCATCCACTGAGGAGAAAAGACATTTGTGACTACGACGATTATCTTATTTTAATGAGACGTTGATCTACTTTAATAAGGTTCAGCTGCTTTACAAGGTAACAACAACATAGCCTAAAGAAATCAAATTCAACAAATGTATTAATCTTATTTATCAAAGATTTGTTTTGTTCTTATTTGTCTTACCTTTGGGTTCTGAGCTAGTCTCTGAAAACATCTGCATGAGATCAACTCTGTGCAACTTCTTTAAAATCTCTCTGGTCTCATCCACAGACTGTCGCCCGTAGGTCTGCACCATCACATCCAATATTGCTGTACGGTCGTTTGAGTGTCTCAATAAAAGTGGGATGTTTTTGGAGTCCTTTTGAAAGGCCGACAGCAGAAACTTCTTGAATTTCCTGAGCTCCCCATTATTTAAAGAATGCAGGATTTCCAAAAGCAACTCTTTAACAGCTGCCATTGTTGCTGCCTGGAATAGTTAACACACTCATGGGACATTTGCTTAATCAACTAGGACAATTTTAAATGTGTCACTTAAGGTGTTGAGCTGGGTGTTTCTGATAGATATTCTTTTTATTATATTGATTATTGTTGAAGGAAAAAGTCAGAAAAAGATTATGTGCTGACATTTCATCTCATAAGCACTGTCAAAGATATTTATGAATCTGCTGCACAACATTACTGCTAAAACGCTCAACCTGAATAAAGCTTCAGCTTTGTGAAAAACTGATTAATTCAAATGTAATCATATTTCATCAAAATGTTCATGTTCATGTGTAAATCAGACAGATGTGAAGTGATTACTCACTTTCTCCAACAGGACAGAGCGTGGTTCATCTGAGCGTTTCTCTGAGGAAAAAAGTGGAAAAAATAACTCATGAGAGATTGATCTTAAACATGACAAAGATGTTATCAGGCAAATAGTTTAGTAATGATTTGTGAGGTACAACATAAGTCAAAAAGATATATTGGTAAACCAACTGATAAGTCTTAATATCTGTGCACTATGAATCTTATCATAAATCTTGTAACAGATACAGATGTAACTTAAACACTTGTGAAATAGGTTTAGAGACAGTTTTACGATTTTAAATGATCTTGGTCTTCATGGTCATACTTTTGAAACTTGAGCTGGTCTCCAACAACTTCTGCACCAGATCAGTTCTGTTCATCTTCTTTAAAATCTTCATCGTCTTCACAACAGAGTTTTGACCAAAAGTCAAAACTGTAACACACACAGTGTCCTGATGGTTTGTCTGCCACAGCAAACGAGGGTTGTATGATTTATGTGTTTTGTAGCCTTCATTTCTGATCAACTGCTTGAATTCCTCATACTGGTTTTCTGTTAGGCAAGCCATAATTTCCACAAGCAGTTCTATAACAGATGTCATCTTTTCCACCTGAAAAATTAAAAGAACATGTTCAAGGTGCAAAAAATGAGTACAGATATTTCTTTTCACATTTCATCAATTGTCTTTTTTAAGACTGACCAACGTACATCTGCCACATGAACAGAGGTTATCATACTATAGTTATGTTTACATTCAAGTACTTTACTTTTTTTACAAACAGCTTATATTTCTGCATTGAGTAACATACGGTTGTTACCTTTGATTTTCTTTTTTAAGATTTATTTTTGGGCTTTTTGTACCTTTAATAGATAGACAGGACAGTGGATAGAGTCAGAAATCAGGGAGAGAGAGAGAGTGGGGAATGAGGGAAAGGAGCCACAGGTCGGATTTGAACCTGGGCTGTCCGCTTGGAGGACTACAGCCTCCGTACATGGAGCGCGCGCACTAACCACTGCGTCCCTACCTTTAATTTTCTATGAAGTTTTTGTTCAATTCTAATTCCATGGTGTACATGTGTCTAAATCTGTGCAATGAAAATCAGATAACTGTATGAATCTTCCAAGAGAGTGTCTGTTAAAGGGGCGGAGCAAGGGGTGGCCAGCCCAGGAGGGACCTATGTTTAAATCATCTTTTTGTGCTGATAGTAGTATGTGCACTCTTTGTATGTCAATGTAACACATTTCATTTTGCTAGTATTTTAAAGGCAGAAAATGCCATTTTTTTTGATCCAGCAGATGTCGCCTTTGAGCACCAGCATGAAACCAAAACAACTCGCGCTGCATTGTTGTGTTAGCATGCTAATGCTAGCGATTTTTATTATGATCGTATCTTCACACTGCATGTAAATTTACCTACGTGATCTAGAAACGTAGTTAAGCAGTGAGTACAGTATGTTATTCTTCTTTTCTCTAGTCCCTCAATTAAACAACTTTTATACGCGAGGGGATGAGTCGGCCGGCCGTCCCGACGATGTAAACAAACTGAAGATAGGACTCGGAAAACATCACAGACAGCGGGACTCGGGTGTTACACCCATTGTAGACAGTCATGACTCACAGAGTTATTTTCAGAGGATTGATTTCTGCTACATTTAAGTGTGAAAAATTGCATATTAAGCCTTTTAAGGAAGAATGTGTGACATTTTACACATAAATACAGCAGAAATCAAGTATATCCTGTAAATGTCTGTTTGAGTTGTGACTGTCTGCAATGAGTGAGAAGCTCGAGTCCTGCTGGCTGTGTTGTTGTCGGGGTTGTGTTTACATCATGTTTACATGGACGGGACGGCCTTGTGCATAAAGCTGTTTAAGTCGAGGTCGAGAGAAATGAAGAAGAATTTACTCACTGCTTATTTGGATTTCAAGTAAGTGTGTTTAGAACTCGGTCATTCTGTGTCAATTTATGTTTAATGTGAAGCTACGAGCTAAGTAAAGTGTGCTAACATTAGCCTGCTAACACAACAATGCAGACCACAGGCAAGTGCAGCTCGAGCAAAGGACAAGTTTGTCCGCCACTTGCACTTAGTGGTTGTTAATGTTTGAATTGCCCCCGGGGACAAGTAATGTTTTTTGAATTTAATTCATTTTTTTTATGGTGCGTTCTAATTCCTAACCCCTTCATGGGAGGCGAGTGGAGAGGTGTCGTAGGTGTGCTGCTGGAGGAGAGCAGAGGATTCAGAATGGCAGAGATGTTGCCAAACAGCAGTTTGTTTTGGTTTAATGCTGGTGCTCAAGGACGACATCTACTGGATAAAGAAAGTTGCACATTCATCCTTTAAATTGGATCTTCCTTTTGAGTGCTTAGAGAAATAAACTAAGATTTAAATGTTTTAATCTCTTTTTAAAGTAAAATAAATAAATAAATATTCAGGAATATAACATCATATAACATGTGATACTTAAATGTAAGTAGTTAAAGAAGATATGATTAGTGGAGATATAAAGGGGAAATAAATGCTGTTGATTCAGTGTACTTTGCTTTATCAGCTCTTTGAGAAAATATTGATTAAAACAGCTCAATGTTACTTAAAGGATCACGTTTTTTTTATCAGCATTAAATAAATAACGTTAGTTTTTGTACCTTTAATTGAAATGTTCGAGGTGGACTCTATAATAGTGACGCTGTGTGAAGTCAGAGTGATGTGACATACTCACCCTCTGGGTCAGTGAAAGCAGCTCTTCATCCATAGAGTGTTCTTATGAGGAAAAAAATAAATGCAAAAGAAAACCAATTTTATTTCTATCCCTCTTCCTGCATCTCCCTCTATCCCACTTTCCAAACCCAACACAGATTCAGCAGACGGCTGTTCATCATGAGTCTGGTTCAGCTCGAGGTTTCTGCCTCTTAAACGATTTTTACCTTTCCACTGTAACTTTGCTAATTCAATTCAATTGAAAAAACTTTATTTTATCCCCGGGGACAATTCAAAGGCACACAGAGCAGTAAATGTTTCTTAGTGCTCGTGATGGATTAATGTTGGGTCTTTGTAGATAATATAGCAAGAGTAAGGTCAGTGTTTCCCCTACCATTATATTAGGGGGGTGGCCCGCCCCCCCAACGCCCCCCGCCACCCCGACATAACAAAGGTCAGTGGCTAATGTTACAATTTTACAATTTCATTTAGCAGACGCAGGCGAATAAATCTGGCATTAAACTGAAAAGTCCAGAGGTCTGTACTACGAAGCAGGATTTGGGTTAGCGAGGTAACTTCAGGGTTAACCCTGGGTTTTCAGTCCTACGAAGGTGGTTCACTTCTAACCTGGGTATATCACCACGGTAACCTATGCTGCACATCTAACCTGCTGCACACCTAAAAATCTCCGCCACTGAACAGTCAGATCTCTTGATCTTGGAGCTCCCGCAGCTGATCGAGAGAGCGGAGGAGGGAGAGAGACCGACCAACACTTCATGTGTCCCGTATAATTTTACATTTGTCTTGAACTTCTTCATATTTTCAATTTAGTTCAGAGTTTGTTGGATATAACGATCTGCTGACGGCAGACGCAGTGATGATTGTGATTGGTTAAATTAAGCTAACTCCGCCACTTTTATATGATTGGAATAATTAAACCACTGGTATAAAACAGGTTTGTTATCTTGTGTAAACAAAATAATTTATTTGTGATCTCGTTACTTTTGTTGTAATTGTGAAATATCAAATATCTTTAAACATAAATGTGTGTAATGTGGCAGTGTTTGTTTTCTTTCTCTCACCTTGAAGTCCTGAGTCTGTCCCCATCAGCCTCTCAACTAGATCAGTCCTGTTCATGTCCAATAAAACCTCTTTGGTCACCTCCACAGGCTGCTGGTTCCTCACCATCAGATACACCAGTTCATCTGGAGTTGTTGCCCACTCCATGTCGTGCCACTGGATTCGTGTAAAACTCCTCTGGAAGTATGTGAGCTGCAGCACCCACTTAAATTTCTCAAACTCCTCAAGTTTCAAACCACTCAATGTTTCTGAAAGAACATGTTCCACATCTTCCTTTACCGTCTAAAAATATCAAAGACAATAAACAAATTAGTCATTTCTCCAATGGTAAAATCAAAAAGGAACATCTCTGGGGATTTAATCAGAGATGTAGGGAAGTTATCGGAATACTTTCTCCATGATCACTCGAGATTAATACAACAGGTAAAATTATTTTATTGGCTATGTTTACAGGTTTAAAAAAAATTTAAGTTTGTATTTTGTGGTAGCAACATAACATAGAAGATCCCCTCTATACCTTCACCCTTAAATCTCTGTTAAACTGAATACAACTACATGATTTAATGCAACATGTGAAATCTTCCACAGCACTTAACATGAAGCATTTCCTTTAAAACACCTGAAATACAGAACTCAAATACTACAGAGCTGAACTTTACAACCAATTATAGCCATTTGTTTTGGTTTGTATCATAATTTGCAATGTTCAAAGACTTGGATGTTTTTTAATCTGCATCAGACAAATCAGGCTGTGAAATGTAAAAAACGGACTCACTTTTTCAAAGACTGGAGGTTGATGCTCATCCACTGAGGAGAAAAGACATTTGTGACTACGACGACTTATTTTAATGAGACGTTGATCTACTTTAATAAGGTTCAGCTGCTTTACAAGGTAACAACAACATAGCCTAAAGAAATCAAATTCAACAAATGTATTAATCTTATTTATCAAAGATTTGTTTTGTTCTTATTTGTCTTACCTTTGGGTTCTGAGCTAGTCTCTGAAAACATCTGCATGAGATCAACTCTGTGCAACTTCTTTAAAATCTCTCTGGTCTCATCCACAGACTGTCGCCCGTAGGTCTGCACCATCACATCCAATATTGCTGTACGCTCGTTTGAGTGTCTCAATAAAAGTGGGATGTTTTTGGAGTCCTTTTGAAAGGCCGACAGCAGAAACTTCTTGAATTTCCTGAGCTCCCCATCATTTAAAGAATGCAGGATTTCCAAAAGCAACTCTTTAACAGCTGCCATTGTTGCTGCCTGGAATAGTTAACACACTCATGGGACATTTGCTTAATCAACTAGGACAATTTTAAATGTGTCTCTTAAGGTGTTGAGCTGGGTGTTTCTGACAGATATTCTTTTTATTATATTGATTATTGTTGAAGGAAAAAGTCAGAAAAAGATTATGTGCTGACATTTCATCTCATAAGCACTGTCAAAGATATTTATGAATCTGCTGCACAACATTACTGCTAAAACGCTCAACCTGAATAAAGCTTCAGCTTTGTGAAAAACAGATTAATTCAAATTTCATCAAATTTCATCAAAATGTTCATGTTCATGTGTAAATCAGACAGATGTGAAGTGATTACTCACTTTCTCCAACAGGACAGAGCGTGGTTCATCTGAGCGTTTCTCTGAGGAAAAAAGTGGAAAAAATAACTCATGAGAGATTGATCTTAAACATGACAAAGATGTTATCAGGCAAATAGTTTAGTAATGATTTGTGAGGTACAACATAAGTCAAAAAGATATATTGGTAAACCAACTGATAAGTCTTAATATCTGTGCACTATGAATCTTATCATAAATCTTGTAACAGATACAGATGTAACTTAAACACTTGTGAAATAGGTTGAGAGACAGTTTTACGATTTTAAATGATCTTGGTCTTCATGGTCATACTTTTGAAACTTGAGCTGGTCTCCAACAACTTCTGCACCAGATCAGTTCTGTTCATCTTCTTTAAAATCTTCATCGTCTTCACAACAGAGTTTTGACCAAAAGTCAAAACTGTAACACACACAGTGTCCTGATGGTTTGTCTGCCCCAGCAAACGAGGGTTGTATGATATACATGTTTTGTAGCCGTCATTTCTGATCAACTGCTTGAATTCCTCATACTGGTTTTCTGTTAGGCAAGCCATAATTTCCACAAGCAGTTCTATAACAGATGTCATCTTTTCCACCTGAAAAATTAAAAGAACATGTTCAAGGTGCAAAAAATGAGTACAGATATTTCTTTTCACATTTCATCAATTGTCTTTTTTAAGACTGACCAACGTACATCTGCCACATGAACAGAGGTTATCATACTATAGTTATGTTTACATTCAAGTACTTTACTTTTTTTACAAACAGCTTATATTTCTGCATTGAGTAACATACGGTTGTTACCTTTGATTTTCTTTTTTAAGATTTATTTTTGGGCTTTTTGTACCTTTAATAGATAGACAGGACAGTGGATAGAGTCAGAAATCAGGGAGAGAGAGAGAGTGGGGAATGAGGGAAAGGAGCCACAGGTCGGATTTGAACCTGGGCTGTCCGCTTGGAGGACTAAGCCTCCGTACATGGGCGCGCGCACTAACCACTGCGTCCCTACCTTTAATTTTCTATTAAGTTTTTGTTTAATTCTAATTCCATGGTGTACATGTGTCTAAATCTGTGCAATGAAAATCAGATAACTGTATGAATCTTCCAAGAGAGTGTCTGTTAAAGGGGCGGAGCAAGGGGTGGCCAGCCCAGGAGGGACCTATGTTTAAATCATCTTTTTGTGCTGATAGTAGTATGTGCACTCTTTGTATGTCAATGTAACACATTTCATTTTGCTAGTATTTTAAAGGCAGAAAATGCCATTTTTTTTGATCCAGCAGATGTCGCCTTTGAGCACCAGCATGAAACCAAAACAACTCGCGCTGCATTGTTGTGTTAGCATGCTAATGCTAGCGATTTTTATTATGATCGTATCTTCACACTGCATGTAAATTTACCTACGTGATCTAGAAACGTAGTTAAGCAGTGAGTACAGTATGTTATTCTTCTTTTCTCTAGTCCCTCAATTAAACAACTTTTATACGCGAGGGGATGAGTCGGCCGGCCGTCCCGACGATGTAAACAAACTGAAGATAGGACTCGGAAAACATCACAGACAGCGGGACTCGGGTGTTACACCCATTGTAGACAGTCATGACTCACAGAGTTATTTTCAGAGGATTGATTTCTGCTACATTTAAGTGTGAAAAATTGCATATTAAGCCTTTTAAGGAAGAATGTGTGACATTTTACACATAAATACAGCAGAAATCAAGTATATCCTGTAAATGTCTGTTTGAGTTGTGACTGTCTGCAATGAGTGAGAAGCTCGAGTCCTGCTGGCTGTGTTGTTGTCGGGGTTGTGTTTACATCATGTTTACATGGACGGGACGGCCTTGTGCATAAAGCTGTTTAAGTCGAGGTCGAGAGAAATGAAGAAGAATTTACTCACTGCTTATTTGGATTTCAAGTAAGTGTGTTTAGAACTCGGTCATTCTGTGTCAATTTATGTTTAATGTGAAGCTACGAGCTAAGTAAAGTGTGCTAACATTAGCCTGCTAACACAACAATGCAGACCACAGGCAAGTGCAGCTCGAGCAAAGGACAAGTTTGTCCGCCACTTGCACTTAGTGGTTGTTAATGGTTTGAATTGCCCCCGGGGACAAGTAATGTTTTTTGAATTTAATTCATTTTTTTTATGGTGCGTTCTAATTCCTAACCCCTTCATGGGAGGCGAGTGGAGAGGTGTCGTAGGTGTGCTGCTGGAGGAGAGCAGAGGATTCAGAATGGCAGAGATGTTGCCAAACAGCAGTTTGTTTTGGTTTAATGCTGGTGCTCAAGGACGACATCTACTGGATAAAGAAAGTTGCACATTCATCCTTTAAATTGGATCTTCCTTTTGAGTGCTTAGAGAAATAAACTAAGATTTAAATGTTTTAATCTCTTTTTAAAGTAAAATAAATAAATAAATATTCAGGAATATAACATCATATAACATGTGATACTTAAATGTAAGTAGTTAAAGAAGATATGATTAGTGGAGATATAAAGGGGAAATAAATGCTGTTGATTCAGTGTACTTTGCTTTATCAGCTCTTTGAGAAAATATTGATTAAAACAGCTCAATGTTACTTAAAGGATCACGTTTTTTTTATCAGCATTAAATAAATAACGTTAGTTTTTGTACCTTTAATTGAAATGTTCGAGGTGGACTCTATAATAGTGACGCTGTGTGAAGTCAGAGTGATGTGACATACTCACCCTCTGGGTCAGTGAAAGCAGCTCTTCATCCATAGAGTGTTCTTATGAGGAAAAAAATAAATGCAAAAGAAAACCAATTTTATTTCTATCCCTCTTCCTGCATCTCCCTCTATCCCACTTTCCAAACCCAACACAGATTCAGCAGACGGCTGTTCATCATGAGTCTGGTTCAGCTCGAGGTTTCTGCCTCTTAAACGATTTTTACCTTTCCACTGTAACTTTGCTAATTCAATTCAATTGAAAAAACTTTATTTTATCCCCGGGGGACAATTCAAAGGCACACAGAGCAGTAAATGTTTCTTAGTGCTCGTGATGGATTAATGTTGGGTCTTTGTAGATAATATAGCAAAGAGTAAGGTCAGTGTTTCCCCTACCATTATATTAGGGGGGTGGCCCGCCCCCCCAACGCCCCCCCGCCACCCCGACATAACAAAGGTCAGTGGCTAATGTTACAATTTTACAATTTCATTTAGCAGACGCAGGCGAATAAATCTGGCATTAAACTGAAAAGTCCAGAGGTCTGTACTACGAAGCAGGATTTGGGGTTAGCGAGGTAACTTCAGGGTTAACCCTGGGTTTTCAGTCCTCCGAAGGTGGTTCACTTCTAACCTGGGTATATCACCACGGTAACCTATGCTGCACATCTAACCTGCTGCACACCTAAAAATCTCCGCCACTGAACAGTCAGATCTCTTGATCTTGGAGCTCCCGCAGCTGATCGAGAGAGAGCGGAGGAGGGAGAGAGACCGACCAACACTTCATGTGTCCCGTATAATTTTACATTTGTCTTGAACTTCTTCATATTTTCAATTTAGTTCAGAGTTTGTTGGATATAACGATCTGCTGACGGCAGACGCAGTGATGATTGTGATTGGTTAAATTAAGCTAACTCCGCCACTTTTATATGATTGGAATAATTAAACCACTGGTATAAAACAGGTTTGTTATCTTGTGTAAACAAAATAATTTATTTGTGATCTCGTTACTTTTGTTGTAATTGTGAAATATCAAATATCTTTAAACATAAATGTGTGTAATGTGGCAGTGTTTGTTTTCTTTCTCTCACCTTGAAGTCCTGAGTCTGTCCCCATCAGCCTCTCAACTAGATCAGTCCTGTTCATGTCCAATAAAACCTCTTTGGTCACCTCCACAGGCTGCTGGTTCATCACCATCAGATACACCAGTTCATCTGGAGTTGTTGCCCACTCCATGTCGTGCCACTGGATTCGTGTAAAACTCCTCTGGAAGTATGTGAGCTGCAGCACCCACTTAAATTTCTCAAACTCCTCAAGTTTCAAACCACTCAATGTTTCTGAAAGAACATGTTCCACATCTTCCTTTACCGTCTAAAAATATCAAAGACAATAAACAAATTAGTCATTTCTCCAATGGTAAAATCAAAAAGGAACATCTCTGGGGATTTAATCAGAGATGTAGGGAAGTTATCGGAATACTTTCTCCATGATCACTCGAGATTAATACAACAGGTAAAATTATTTTATTGGCTATGTTTACAGGTTTAAAAAAAAAAAAAAAAAATTTAAGTTTGTATTTTGTGGTAGCAACATAACATAGAAGATCCCCTCTATACCTTCACCCTTAAATCTCTGTTAAACTGAATACAACTACATGATTTAATGCAACATGTGAAATCTTCCACAGCACTTAACATGAAGCATTTCCTTTAAAACACCTGAAATACAGAACTCAAATACTACAGAGCTGAACTTTACAACCAATTATAGCCATTTGTTTTGGTTTGTATCATAATTTGCAATGTTCAAAGACTTGGATGTTTTTTAATCTGCATCAGACAAATCAGGCTGTGAAATGTAAAAAACGGACTCACTTTTTCAAAGACTGGAGGTTGATGCTCATCCACTGAGGAGAAAAGACATTTGTGACTACGACGACTTATTTTAATGAGACGTTGATCTACTTTAATAAGGTTCAGCTGCTTTACAAGGTAACAACAACATAGCCTAAAGAAATCAAATTCAACAAATGTATTAATCTTATTTATCAAAGATTTGTTTTGTTCTTATTTGTCTTACCTTTGGGTTCTGAGCTAGTCTCTGAAAACATCTGCATGAGATCATCCCTGTGCAACTTCTTTAAAATCTCTCTGGTCTCATCCACAGACTGTCGCCCGTAGGTCTGCACCATCACATCCAATATTGCTGTACGGTCGTTTGAGTATCTCAATAAAAGTGGGATGTTTTTGGAGTCCTTTTGAAAGGCCGACAGCAGAAACTTCTTGAATTTCCTGAACTCCCCATCATTTAAAGAATGCAGGATTTCCAAAAGCAACTCTTTAACAGCTGCCATTGTTGCTGCCTGGAATAGTTAACACACTCATGGGACATTTGCTTAATCAACTAGGACAATTTTAAATGCGTCACTTAAGGTGTTGAGCTGGGTGTTTCTGATAGATATTCTTTTTATTATATTGATTATTGTTGAAGGAAAAAGTCAGAAAAAGATTATGTGCTGACATTTCATCTCATAAGCACTGTCAAAGATATTTATGAATCTGCTGCACAACATTACTGCTAAAACGCTCAACCTGAATAAAGCTTCAGCTTGTGAAAAACAGATTAATTCAAATTTCATCAAATTTCATCAAAATGTTCATGTTCATGTGTAAATCAGACAGATGTGAAGTGATTACTCACTTTCTCCAACAGGACAGAGCGTGGTTCATCTGAGCGTTTCTCTGAGGAAAAAAGTGGAAAAAATAACTCATGAGAGATTGATCTTAAACATGACAAAGATGTTATCAGGCAAATAGTTTAGTAATGATTTGTGAGGTACAACATAAGTCAAAAAGATATATTGGTAAACCAACTGATAAGTCTTAATATCTGTGCACTATGAATCTTATCATAAATCTTGTAACAGATACAGATGTAACTTAAACACTTGTGAAATAGGTTTAGAGACAGTTTTACGATTTTAAATGATCTTGGTCTTCATGGTCATACTTTTGAAACTTGAGCTGGTCTCCAACAACTTCTGCACCAGATCAGTTCTGTTCATCTTCTTTAAAATCTTCATCGTCTTCACAACAGAGTTTTGACCAAAAGTCAAAACTGTAACACACACAGTGTCCTGATGGTTTGTCTGCCACAGCAAACGAGGGATGTATGATTTGTATGTTTCGTAGCCTTCATATCTGATCAACTGCTTGAATTCCTCATACTGGTTTTCTGTTAGGCAAGCCATAATTTCCACAAGCAGTTCTATAACAGATGTCATCTTTTCCACCTGAAAAATTAAAAGAACATGTTCAAGGTGCAAAAAATGAGTACAGATATTTCTTTTCACATTTCATCAATTGTCTTTTTTAAGACTGACCAACGTACATCTGCCACATGAACAGAGGTTATCATACTATAGTTATGTTTACATTCAAGTACTTTACTTTTTTTACAAACAGCTTATATTTCTGCATTGAGTAACATACGGTTGTTACCTTTGATTTTCTTTTTTAAGATTTATTTTTGGGCTTTTTGTACCTTTAATAGATAGACAGGACAGTGGATAGAGTCAGAAATCAGGGAGAGAGAGAGAGTGGGGAATGAGGGAAAGGAGCCACAGGTCGGATTTGAACCTGGGCTGTCCGCTTGGAGGACTACAGCCTCCGTACATGGAGCGCGCGCACTAACCACTGCGTCCCTACCTTTAATTTTCTATGAAGTTTTTGTTCAATTCTAATTCCATGGTGTACATGTGTCTAAATCTGTGCAATGAAAATCAGATAACTGTATGAATCTTCCAAGAGAGTGTCTGTTAAAGGGGCGGAGCAAGGGGTGGCCAGCCCAGGAGGGACCTATGTTTAAATCATCTTTTGTGCTGATAGTAGTATGTGCACTCTTTGTATGTCAATGTAACACATTTCATTTTGCTAGTATTTTAAAGGCAGAAAATGCCATTTTTTTTGATCCAGCAGATGTCGCCTTTGAGCACCAGCATGAAACCAAAACAACTCGCGCTGCATTGTTGTGTAAGCATGCTAATGCTAGCGATTTTTATTATGATCGTATCTTCACACTGCATGTAAATTTACCTACGTGATCTAGAAACGTAGTTAAGCAGTGAGTACAGTATGTTATTCTTCTTTTCTCTAGTCCCTCAATTAAACAACTTTTATACGCGAGGGGATGAGTCGGCCGGCCGTCCCGACGATGTAAACAAACTGAAGATAGGACTCGGAAAACATCACAGACAGCGGGACTCGGGTGTTACACCCATTGTAGACAGTCATGACTCACAGAGTTATTTTCAGAGGATTGATTTCTGCTACATTTAAGTGTGAAAAATTGCATATTAAGCCTTTTAAGGAAGAATGTGTGACATTTTACACATAAATACAGCAGAAATCAAGTATATCCTGTAAATGTCTGTTTGAGTTGTGACTGTCTGCAATGAGTGAGAAGCTCGAGTCCTGCTGGCTGTGTTGTTGTCGGGGTTGTGTTTACATCATGTTTACATGGACGGGACGGCCTTGTGCATAAAGCTGTTTAAGTCGAGGTCGAGAGAAATGAAGAAGAATTTACTCACTGCTTATTTGGATTTCAAGTAAGTGTGTTTAGAACTCGGTCATTCTGTGTCAATTTATGTTTAATGTGAAGCTACGAGCTAAGTAAAGTGTGCTAACATTAGCCTGCTAACACAACAATGCAGACCACAGGCAAGTGCAGCTCGAGCAAAGGACAAGTTTGTCCGCCACTTGCACTTAGTGGTTGTTAATGGTTTGAATTGCCCCCGGGGACAAGTAATGTTTTTTGAATTTAATTCATTTTTTTTATGGTGCGTTCTAATTCCTAACCCCTTCATGGGAGGCGAGTGGAGAGGTGTCGTAGGTGTGCTGCTGGAGGAGAGCAGAGGATTCAGAATGGCAGAGATGTTGCCAAACAGCAGTTTGTTTTGGTTTAATGCTGGTGCTCAAGGACGACATCTACTGGATAAAGAAAGTTGCACATTCATCCTTTAAATTGGATCTTCCTTTTGAGTGCTTAGAGAAATAAACTAAGATTTAAATGTTTTAATCTCTTTTTAAAGTAAAATAAATAAATAAATATTCAGGAATATAACATCATATAACATGTGATACTTAAATGTAAGTAGTTGAAGAAGATATGATTAGTGGAGATATAAAGGGGAAATAAATGCTGTTGATTCAGTGTACTTTGCTTTATCAGCTCTTTGAGAAAATATTGATTAAAACAGCTCAATGTTACTTAAAGGATCCCGTTTTTTTTATCAGCATTAAATAAATAACGTTAGTTTTTGTACCTTTAATTGAAATGTTCGAGGTGGACTCTATAATAGTGACGCTGTGTGAAGTCAGAGTGATGTGACATACTCACCCTCTGGGTCAGTGAAAGCGGCTCTTCATCCATAGAGTGTTCTTCTGAGGAACAAATAAATGCAAAAGAAAACCAATTTTATTTCTATCCCTCTTTCTGCATCTCCCTCTATCCCACTTTCCAAACCCAACACAGATTCAGCAGACGGCTGTTCATCATGAGTCTGGTTCAGCTCGAGGTTTCTGCTCTTAAAGGATTTTTACCTTTCCACTGTAACTTTGCTAATTCAATTCAAAGGCACACAGAGCAGTAAATGTTTCTTGGTGCTCGTGATGGATTAATGTTGGGTCTTTGTAGATAATATAACAAAGAGTAAGATATTTACCTGCTCTTTTTGTAAAGTGACGGTTTTGCTTTCCTCATTAATTGAAATATAGAACTTTTAAAATGCCTTGATTGTATTGTGTGAAGACTTTGTGTTTGTCTAACCTTCGGGCTCCCGTCTGTCGTCAAGCAATCTCTTCACGAGATCAGTCCTGTTCATCTTCTTTAAGATATTTCTGGTCAACTTCACACACTCCTCCTCGCTGTATCTCTTCACCATCAGCTCCTCTATTTTCTCTGGGCATATTGATTTTAGATGGAGTTCTGAGAGGAGGGGAACACCTTTCTCCAATTCAACATGTAGGCAGAAATCTTCAAGCTCCCCAGAACTCAAATGTTCCAATGTTTTAGACAGCATCCCACGTGTCGTCATTTTTTCAAGCTGGAAAACAAAAGATAACATCACAGAATATGCAGATTATGACGAGTGCCATTTACAGAAAGTACATATTTGATTGGATCCTTTTATTTCATTTCATAAATACCAGAGTTATTGACAAGTAGCATGTCATCACACTCTGATTAAACATTTTTTAAAATAGCTCTTTTTTTTCACTAAAGAAAAAACATTTGAAACTTTTTGATGGCTCACTCAGTAGTTATTAATCAAAGGCTGCGGCCTTCAGATTTAAATCTTATTCATGACTTACAAGCATTACATGGACACACACACAACACACACACACACACACACACACACACACACACACACACACACAGCTCGGTTAGGGCGAGTGCCAGGAGAGGTTACCGTCCTCTCTCTCTCTCTCTCTCTCTCTCTCTCTCTGGGAGGTTTACGTGGCTGGTTCCAGCATGAATGTCTGTTGAATATCCAACTTGAAACCAACTTCAGCTTCCTGGTTTAATGTACTCTGATAATTATGGCATTTAGCTAAAACCCTTATATTTGCAGTCTATCTAGTTAGATGTTACTTAACCCACTTTAAGTATTCGAGTGTTTACAAACCTGAATACAACTCGAGAAAAGGAAGTGGTAAAACAAAGATGAAAGTAACTGCAGAAAAAAAAACTGTACTGACTCACTTCCGCTGTTTGAGCAAAACATTCCTCCACTTACCGAAAATCGTCGACGTCTTAGTAAGCTGAAAAACCTAAAAACAAGATTAAAATCCAGTCACATTTCCACTTTTTGCTCGTCCATTATCCAGAAGTCGAAGACAGCCCTGTGCTGTGTAGTTTTTGTCTCTAGTCTGATGCAGACAGGTTTGACATAACGGCGAGTTCATGGGGTCTTAAACCAGCCCCTTTGCTCCTCAAAGCCAACACCCATTTTACTGATCGCTTACAATAAAATATTCAGCTGTCTTAAAGAATCTGTAAAATAAATGATTGTGCAGTACACTGTTACATCACATGAATGAACAAATGCATTTTATTGTTTTATTATTTTCATAGCTACTGAGATTGCATGAGCTCTCTTTTAACTTACTACCTCTGTAAAATGAACTGTAAGCCTATAAAAAATAGTACACATTACCAAAATGACTTAATGAACTACTTCATCATCATTTTGGCTGTCCTCATCTTGGTCTGAAGGGAGCATGATGTGAACCTCCGTTGAGGACAGTGTGCATGAACTTTGTTACACCTCTTGTCTCTTGTCATTGTTAAAACCCAGGAAGCTATGCCCTCATACATATAGCACCCTGCTTTATCAATGATTTGAAACAAAATTAAACTGTGATGGACTGAATTAACATCAAGCTGTATTGAAGAACACTTTCAAGTAGGGACAGGTACCATAAACCCATCAGACAACAAGACCCATCTTACATAATACAGCAGGATGTTTACTCATTGCTTATGGCCTCATTGAAAGTTAAATAGTAAAATAGATAAGAGGTGTAGTTACCTCCAGTTATTAGAGCCCGACCCATTAATCTACCAGCCGATAATTCATTGTAATGAATAATAATTAGGCTATCTATGTAATATTTATGAAGTTTGCAGTCACATAGTTGTTATCACCACTCGTGAATGACAGTGAGGGACCACGGACTGGCTAATGTGCACACAGGCCGGGACATTAGATCGAGGCTTGAACACTTTCAATACAGAGAGTGCATGAATGCGCATTGTTTCAAAACAGTAGAAGCCCTGATAGTCTTTGAACCTCTCTGCTTTTCTATCCAGAGGCCTGTTAGACAGACAACTGTTGTCTTTTATGTAGTTAATTTACAATTTATCAAATTGCTTGTGCAAACGTGGAACACCCCCCCCCCCTGAATGTTTTAGAAACTGCATGGATTATAGAGTAATGTGAAAATAACAACACAGCTTGATGGGTGAACAGCCCATTTCATCGCTCTGAAAAAGTAATCTGTAGCCTATAAGAAACAGGAAAAACGGGCATTAAACCAATGGTTGATATGAAATAACTTGTGAAAAAACGTGCAGGGGAAGAAACGATGGGAGGTCGCAGACGTCCTGGTTTCAACATGACCTACATATAAATAAGAGCTGCCACTTATTCCTCATCTTCCACTTTATGGCTTTAATGGCGTTTGGAAACCTATATTACCGTCACCTATTGGACCAGTGTATGAAACAAAACTGGATAAGCACCTACAGCAACCTTTGTTCCTTTTAAAAATGTAATTAATGAATTCATTGTATGTTTTACAAGATCAGAGCCTCTCTGCGTGGAGTTTGCATTTTCTCCCCGTGATAATGATGCAGTTAGAATTACTACAATAGAAATAACCACAACAACAAGTGTGCCAGCAGTGAGAGCTAAATTTACTAACCCTTGCGCACAGATTGCATCCCTTCTACTGAATTGATGATCAAATTTTCAACTGCACTTGAAGGCACCATTTCCCCCCTCATGTTTCCGATTGTCTCTCGATAGATACATTAACGCGGTTGATCCGGAAATAAGTACTGTTGACAATCGGTAGGCCGCGGTCACTGAAGACGTGGGGGACCCCTTGGTGAAAAATGGCCCCCAAAACCAAGAAAGCTGCTTTAGCAGACATGCTGGAGAATCTGTCAAAGTCTGACTTTGACAAGTTTTGCAGCCATCTGTTGGACCGCAGGGAGGAGCCGCGCGTCCGGCGCAGACAAGTGGAGGGAAAAAACTTCCTACAGATCGCAGACGTCCTGGTTTCTACCTTTACCGAGGCTGGAGCTGTAAAGGTGGCTGTGGAGTTGTTGGGATGTGCTAACTGCGGGCAGGAAGTAGAAGAACTCGGTAAATATGTGACTATACCTAAAGGGTTTCATGCAGAACACATATGAGGTCGGGCTTGCTTTGCAGGACATTCAAAGTGGCCTATTATCACAAAAATCAGCAACAATTAGGTTACAACGTTAAGAAATATGTTTTTTTTTGTGCAATCATACAAAATGTAGTTGAAATAGAATAGTTTATAGCACAAATTAAAGTAGCCTTTTTGAACGAGCCCGCTCCCTTTTTACTTTCGCTTTCGCTGACCACTAACCAAAGATCGTCTATAATAAAGATTAACCACCACGAGATTTCCTCCATTCCAAGCAGTAGCTCTCATTTCCCTCTTAAAAACGGTCAAATATATTGGATTTTCAGTAAAGAATTACATGTGATATTTCAGTGATAGTCCCTCCTAAACTTTTGTTGATTTAGTCTAAGTGATTTTGGAAGTGATGGTTCTACTTCAAGTTTAATCTCTTTATAATATAATTCTTATCGTGATGCAATAGCGATACATTGCTCCCTGCTTCTCAAGAGGTGGCTACACCAACAAGGATTATAGATACAGATAAAAGAGCAGTGTCATTAAAAATACACTAATGCCCAATGGAAGCACTCATAGTGTGTGGATTTTCTTTGACATATGTTTTAATTTATTAGGATTCATGTTTAAAAGATTTGTGCTTTTGAGTATTTCAAATCTTATGGGGGCGCTGGTGGCTCATTGGTTAGTGCGTGCGCACCATGTACAGAGGCTATAGTCCTCCAAGTGGCCCAGGCTCGAATCCGACCTCTGCCTCCTTTCCTGCATGTCATTCCCCACTCTCTCTCTCTCCCTGATTTCCGACTCTTTCCACTGTCCTGTCTCTACAATAAAGGCACAAAAAGCCCACAATAAACCTTAAAAAAAAAGTCCTGTGAACATCCAAAACTTAGAAATCCACTGATGTATTTTCACTGACTAATACGTTAACAGTAGAACTCCAAACCTTATGAGATTGAGAAATGAACCTTCAAACCGACAACCCTTTGGAAGACACTTTAGCTCAGTTGAGGGAGCAGGCCGCCCCATGGGCTACAGTCCTTGAGGAATCGACTGCAGGTTCAACTCCAAAGCTCAGACCTGCGATGCATGTCGACTGCAAATTTCCTGTCTCTTCAGCTGTCCTATCAATAAAGGTTAAAAAGGCCAACAAAGAAACATCTTTTAAAATCTTGAAAACTCATTTATTGGTAATTCAAAAATGAAAACAATCGACTTGCCATGAAAAGTTAATTAAAATAAATGTCCTTAATTTGGTCCTGGTGGTCCACCATGAAGAGAAGGGACTTCACCTCTCTATAGCATAATCCACGTTGCATCTACAGATGTACAAACCTCACAGTTATGCTTGTTTTGTTTCCATCACATACTGACACTGTGTCCTTTTATTGCAGTTACAGTGATAGCTGGACTTGACTCAAAACCCGGGACCAGAGACAGTGAGTTGTTTTCCTGTTTTCAGTTTGTCCTGTGGGAAGGGGGGGGGGGAGTCTAAAACCAATCCAATCCTTTTCTCTGTTTTTGTTTTTAGCTGCAAGACCCTCAGCCGGAGCAGCTGGTGTAGATACCACATCAGATGGTAGGAGGACACGTCGTATAAGGCTGTCATGAAAGAAGTCATGGATCATATCATTCAGTATCTGACTGTAAAGGTCACTTTGTAATTCACCACAGAGGTGGATATTTCAAACAAGCCAAACTTTTCTGATCTAAACAGAGTTCAGGCTCAAGAAACAGAAAGCTGATAATTGCTACTAATGAGTATAAAGGAATATTTTGACGAGTTGAAAAGATGTGCATTATTTTTATGGGTTAGATGAGAATATTTATACCACTATGATATAAGTAGAGTTGGCTTCAGCTAGATTAGCATCAGGACTGGAGGTAAGGGCAAACATCTTGATGGCTAAAAAAAAGCTGTCTTCCAGCAGATCTACAGCTCACTGGCTGACAAGTAGGGCTGCACAATATTGGAATAAAACAGACAGTGCGGTATTTTTTCTCTTTATGATATATGTTGGATATGAAAGTGTAAGTAATGCTAGATAATCAAAGGTAATCTACACACAAACAGTAATTACAGATGATACTTTTTAAAGCACTCTTTAAGAATAAGATCGCTCCTCTTGTAATATAGAAATGAGAGAGACCCTTTTCTCTGAGACTTCTAAACAATACATTTTCTTTCTTTTCAACAAGTGAAGTCAGGCACAGAAAATAGTGTCTGATCCTACCTTCTTTCTTCACTCTGAGTTTCAGCTTTTCCCCTCTGGGTGAAGAGTCAGGGTCCCTCAGACCCGGCTGAACAGTTACAAACATTCATTTGTGCCAATGTCTGTTAATATTCTGAATGACAGGTAATGTAGGATGTGCCCAGGGTCGTGCAATATGCCAAATGTTACTGCTGCAAGAAGGTGTTTTTATGTATATGG